TAAATCCACACATTTATAATTAACTGAATTTTTGACAGATACCAAGAATACACAATGAGAAAGAACTCTTTCTTAAATAAACAGTGTTGGGAAAACTGGATATCCACATGCAAAAATAGTGAAATCAGACCTTTCACTCACCTCATATACAAAACTCAAAATGGATTAAATACATAAATATAAGATTCCAAACTGTAAACTGCTCAGATAAAGCTTAGGGGAAAGCTCTATGACAAGGATCTGAGCAGTGATTTTTTTTTCTTTCTAAACTAGGACCCAAAAGCACAAGCAACAAGAGAAAAAATAATAAATAAACAGATGGGTTTTAACAAACCAAAAAAACTTCTGCACATCAAAAGAAACATCAGTAGAGTGAAGAGTCAACCCTTGGAATAGGGGAAAATATTAGCAATCTGTTTACCTGATAAGGTGTTGATATGCAAAATATATAAGGAACTGAATAGTAAGAAAACAAATAATCTAATTTAAAAATGGGCAAAGAAGCTAGGGATATACTTGTCTAGAATGTACAAAGCCATGGGTTAAATCCTCAGCACAGGAAAAACAAACAAACAAAAAAACAGACAAAGGACCTTACTCCAGATAAGCTACACAAATTGCCAACAGATACATGAAAAATGTTCAATATCACTAATCATCAATAAAATGCAAATTATATCTCACTATGAGATATCACCTCATTCCTCTTAGAATGGCTATTATCAAAAAGATGAAAGTGTTGGCAAGGATGTGGAGGAAGGGGAACACTTGCACACCCTTGGTCGGAATGTAAGCCAGTACAGTCAACAGGGAACACAGGATTAAGGTTCCTTAGAAAATTAAAAATGGAACTCCCATATGATCTAGCAGTCCCAATACTGGGGAAATATCCAAAAGAAATGAAATCTTTATATCCAAAAGACATCTGCACCCCTATGTTCATTGCTGCATTACTCATAAGAGCCAAGATACAGAATCAGTCTGTGTCCATCAACAGATGAATGGATAAAGAAAATGTGCTATGTACAAGCAATGGAATATCATTCAGTCATTACAAAGAAAATCCTATCATATGCAACAGCATGGATGCACCCGGCAGACATGGAAGCGAAGGAAACTAGGCACAGAAAAGCAAATACCACATGATCTTACTTATATGCACACTTTTAAAAAGTTGAACTCAAAGAATCAAAGAGTATTGGTTGTTACCAGGGGTTGTGGATGAAGGATCAGGGAAATGTCAGAGGACACAAAATTTCAGTTAAACTGGAGGAATAAGTTCAAGAGATCTATTGTACAAGTGGTGAGAATAGTTAATGATGGTGTACCATGTACTTGAGAGTAGTTTCACATGTTCTCAATGAAATAAATATGGGAAGCAAAATATGTTAATTACCTTGATTTAGCCATTCCACATTGTATACTTATTTTGAAATACTGTGCTGTACATTTTAATGTCGGAAAAAACAAACAACCCCAGACCTGGCAAGCCATATGCAATATTTGGTCTAGAATCCCTCTTAGCGTTCATTCTCTTGCTTTGCTTTTTCTTAATATGTGTAATAAGCTGACACCAAAGTACTACACAGACAACTCTCATTTGCATTCTAGGCAAAATACTGGAGTACTAATGCCCACGAGATCGAAGGCACTGTATTTGACAGGAGTGGGAAAGCGGTGCACAGGCTCTTTGGGAAATGGCATGAGAGCATCTACTGCGGGGGCTCCTCCTCATCCATGTGCCTCTGGCGAGCAAGTGAGTTTTAGGGCCCATTGACCCCAGGCACACAGTAGGCAGGTGGACGGGGCAAGAGGAACCACTGTCCCACAGGAATCAGTTCCATTCAGTGTCTCCAGTATCTACCTTCTTTGAATCGGGTTAGAGGTATTTGCTCTTCTTTCATTCACCTAACCGTCCCCCCAGGTCCTTACCATAGCACCGCAGATGCTGCCAGGTCCTGGGTTCTCAGCCCCAGAATAGGCCCCTGCCAGTCAATGGGCAGTCGTGTGGCCCACACATGTGACTGTGCTGGGCACTACCAAGGAAGGTCAGTGAAGTGCAAGAAGTCATCCTAGAGTAAGGACCAAGAGGAAAGTGTTACTGGGAAAAGCGACTTGGGGACTCTACAAGAGTGAGGATCCTGCTTTGACCTAACCCATGAGCTGTGCTGACCTCCCCTGTGATTCCAGAAGGTCGCTGCCTCCCTCAACATGTCCCACAATGTTTAATCACCTTCATATCTGAAAAATAGATTGTTTCCAAGTAGGGGCATGTTGTAAAAGCTCTTAGGATGCTTTGAGCTGATAAAAACCAAAAAGAAAACCACTCATGAGTAGCGTAAACCATGAGGCTATGTGCCATTGCTTACCAGTGAGAGAGGGTGGTGGCCCTGGCTGTTACATGGTCAGTCTTACCTGGGACCAAAGACATAGATCAATGGAAGCCCATCCTGCCTCTCTCAGTGTGCCATGGTGTTTCTTCTTGTGGATTTTAAAAGGTTGTCACAACTCAATATCTCATCACCATGTGACTGTGCTTCAAGCAGGGAGGAAGGGGAGGACAAAGAGCTGGGTTCTCCAGTGCTTCCCT